AGGCGTTTTCAGTCCCTGCTTTCAAGACAGCATGTTGCATTTTGTGTCTTTCAGGGAGCATTGTGAGCGATGGAGATCCACTGAAGAAATACACGGGATGGGAAAATATTGGCCAAGGGTGAGTGCAACCACACTGGCTTCGACAAAGCCAGGGGCCAGGGATTTTGCTGGTGCCACACTCAAGCGTGAAGTCGGGCAGGCTCCCAGCTCAGACATAGGGATAAGGGTCTCCCGTCTCTCAGTACTGATCAGAATTTCTTTGCTGCTCTTCTGTTCCCAGGGGTTTCGGAACCGTGTCTAGAGCATTCGATGCTGTCACAGGAGGAGAGGTCAGTGCCAACAACCCCCCAGATTTTGCAGCTCTTGAGTGCTCTCCTCTGCGGTGTGAGCTGTGGCTGGAGCTCTGGCTCACCGGACTTTGCTGCCAAGGCTGTTCTCCTGAAGCCCAGGCTAGAGGCAGCCTGCAAAATGCATTTGGGGCAGACTTTGTTGTTGTTCACTACCTGAAAGAATGCGAGGGCAGCGTTATGTTGCAGAGAAGGACACGCTAGTGTGGTCTTATCTGATAAAGGGGCATTGAGTGGCTGATGGCGACTGCTGTTGTTGAGGCCCAATTTGTCTCCATCCCAGGTTCAGAAATAGAGAAGATTTAGCTTCTTTTTCACCAGGGTTTTCATCTTGAATATCAAATGGAAAAGCTAATGAAGGAGAGATCACGTTTGCAACACACTTTTGGCTTTCAGTCCTAGTTAAGTTGCTTGGCACACAACAATGAGAAGACTTTTCCCAAGAGCAAAGATCTCTCCTGAGCAGTGCCATCCGGGTTTGGTTTAGTGTCCTTTACAGCCCATCACAGAGATGCTCTTTGTAATAAGCAGATACAGCAGTGTCTTAGAGAGTCCCTCTGCTCTTTGGGGTTCCAGCCCCACATTCCTGAATTCCCATTTCTGGCTGTCAGCAAATACATCAGAATCTTTGTGGTAGTTCCTTATCCCCTGGCAGTGCTGTGCTTGGGAACTGTGCCTAGAGAGAGGTCTACAAGGCGTCTAAAAGCCCTAAGCCCCGCTTAGAACCTAGGGCGTATCCCATTGCAAATCTCAACCATTTCATCAGTAATACGGTTGCTTTCCTGGGCAACTGAGAATAGCAGCAGTTTGTGAAATAGGCATCAGACCCCTAGAAATGCGAAGGCATTCCCAGCTGTTTGGACATATTTCCACAAGAGCAAAATTGCTTGGTGCTTGCCAATCATCTCTAAATGGTAATAGTGGTGACACACTAGGGCCCTTGGGGAAGGATGTGGGTGCTGAGTGTTGTTAGAGCTTTGTGGTTGCTAGTTTTGAGACCATTTCTGCCAAGTGCACAAGGCAACACACCCATGGCCCTGGGACCACAAGGCAACACACCCATGGCACCTGAGGGAGCGGAGAAAGGGGCTGCTGTTGGAATGTCAGTTATGAATTGCTCTGACGTCGAACCACGAGGCCATTGGGCACAGCTTGCCTGGGACATTCCAAAGCCGTGCACTCCCTGCTCGGGGTGGTCTCGTGCAAGAGATTTCTCAAGGTCATGGTTGTCAGCATCATTTTAGGTGGCCATCAAGCAAGTCAAGCTCCACCAACAGAGCAAAGAGGAACTCCTGAAAGAGATCCTGGTCCTGAGGGATAAGAACCACCCCAATATCGTTACTTATTTAGACAGGTAAGCAGTTCTGGTACTATCATGTTCATGTTCAATTACATAATTGCAAGGTAAAGGTTAGAAAGCTCTTTACTCCCCAGGAGAAAATGGATCTTTTAATTTCTATTTTTAATCTGCTTGTATACCATGTATGGGAGGAGTTTGCATTTGGTCTGCATTAGCGCTTCCTGGCATCCATAGCTTAAACACTGTTGTCAAAAACCTGGATCTCTTCCTAAATCAACAGCCTGTATGTTCTCTCCCTTCATGTTGTAGTGGGCTTGGATGTTTTTCGAGTGTCTCATTCCTCTCCACGCTGTGGTTTTCCTCTTCCAGCTACCTTGTCCATCAGGAGCTCTGGCTGGTGATGGAGCACATGGACGGAGGCTCTTTGACGGATGTTATTAGCGAGACCTGGATGGCCGTGGGACAGATAGCAGCTGTCTGTCGGGAGGTAAGGGATCCCACTTATGGTGCTTCTGATGGCTTGCAATGGATTGTCCTGGTAAGGAGGCAGTGTGAACAGGAGGGATTTCATCTTCAGAGCTTTGTTCCTGTGTTCGCTTGAGCAAACTGCCTGCAGTGTCCTGGCACTTCCTGTACTCTGCTCTTATGATCCTCTTATCTACCGTGGTTTTACTGTCTCGCTCTGTCTTTCTTTAAATTTATTTACTCTTCCCCACTTGGCCTCTCTCAGCATTGGCCTGGAGCCTGTCTCTATTGCATTGCTTGCCTGTAAAAGCAAAGGTGCTGGTGGCAGAAGTTGGGAGGAATGGCAAAAGAAAAGTCCAGACTCATTTTTGCCACTCCTCAGCTTCAAAGCACAGCACTGCCCCCAAGACGGTGTTTGCTTCTCCAGACTGACTAATGGGCTACTTCCAAGGCTGCTGTCCAGGCCAGCAAGAAAATCTCCATTGTGCAGCCTCCCGGCCAAAAGCGACCAACTTCATGCCATTTGTTGGCAAAGCCTCCTTTGTCCTCTGGGGGGAGAGAGCACAAGCAGTGCAGCAGCAGTCATTCTGGCTGGCTTTGCAGGGCACTAGAGCAACAAGGGATGTTTCTGTTTCAAAGCTAATACGCCTTCCCTTAGAAAGACACTGCTCTCCTAGTGTTGGAGCAGCAAGCTCTTCCGCTTGACAGCACCATGCGCTGGCTTCGCTCACTATTC